AGGATGTACTTATGGTCCTCCATATGAGTGGCAAGTTTACAAGTGAGTCTTTTTCTTTGTATTAGATTTTCAGTTTTTCCTTTGTTCTTTCTCAGGGTGATGTGGTTAGGTTCATTAAAGTATATTACATATAGACACACTTACACCTTTGTTTATTAATTGGTCATTTCTTATTGTTGAACAGTACCCTTGGTGGTAGTCATGGAGTGCCAAAAGTACATTATAAAGGAAAGCAAGGAGACTATTATGTTATGGTATGAACTGTCGTATCTTTTGTATCATTCCCTTTCCAATAACTGGTTGAATTTCTTGTTTCCTTGTACCAAATACGTTTCTTATTCTGTATAAGCAGGTTATGGACATGCTAGGGCCTAGTTTATGGGATGTATGGAATTCTTCAGGGCAAGCGTGAGTATTTAAGATTATTATCCCTTTTTATCCAAACATTATTCATTATGTTATCCATTCATTTACTGTTCTCTTTAAATCCAAAAGCTGAATATGCCATTCGGCTGGAAATTCCAGTTTTAAATGTTTTTTTCCTTGTATTTTGTGGGGTCTGCATGGAGGCAAATCTATTTTGAGCCATGCTTTAAGGATTACCCTAAAGTTAACTTTAAGATACTAGGGAAATAGAAAGCATGAGTTATGTGAAGGTTTATGGCTTTTGATGTGGTCTGTGGGTATCTATTCTTAACTGATTTTGACTTTACGTGGAAGAGCACGTGCATGTTCTTCTAACTTTTGACTTCAGCTTTTGAAAGATTTATTCTTATATTTTGCTGTTTATGTTTGAATGAACACAGGATGTCTGCAGAAATGGTAGCTTGTATAGCTGTCGAGTCTTTATCAATTCTAGAGAAGATGCACTCAAGAGGGTATGTGAATGCAGTTGCTGTCAATTTTATTCACTTACTGGTGTTTGTTGTCCCAGTCGTTTGGCTTACTATGAACACTTTTTCCTCAATCCTCTTGTTTTAAGAGGGAGAATTCCTTATTAGATTTCTAACTCATGACTTGTTGACATTAGCTATGTGCATGGAGATGTAAAGCCCGAAAATTTTTTACTTGGTCAGCCATCTACAGCTCAAGAGAAGAAGTTGTTTCTTGTTGACCTTGGACTAGGTGTGTAAATTTACTTCATCTATGGCTTGTCTCCAGTTATTTCATTTACTTCCATTTCTTATGCCTTCATCACCTGATTTTGCAGCGACAAAGTGGAAAGACACTAGTGGGGGGCATGTTGATTATGATCAACGTCCTGATATGTTTAGGTACGCTAATATCTGCATGTTTTGGGCTATAGTTTTCACTATAATACTTCTATCTGTGGCCTTAAATCCTTTCTATGATGCACCTCCAGGGGAACTGTGCGATATGCTAGTGTTCATGCTCATCTGGGAAGAACTGCTAGCAGAAGAGATGATCTTGAATCTCTTGCTTATACACTTATTTTTCTCCACCGAGGCAGGTTACCATGGCAAGGCTATCAGGTACATAATATGGATTAAGTTCAGAGTCTGATTTACTTCTTTTAATTGTGTTTTTATCTGATCTATACTTGCTCCTGTTTCAGGGTGATAACAAATCTTTCCTAGTTTGCAAAAAAAAGATGGCAACATCTCCTGAAATGCTGTGCTGCTTCTGCCCCCCACCTCTAAGACAATTTCTTGAGGTCGTGGTGAACATGAAATTTGATGAAGAGCCTAACTATTCGAAGTTAATCTCGTTGTTTGAGGGTTTGATAGGATCAAATCCTGCTGTAAGGCCAATCAAAACTGATGGTGCTCAAAAGGTTACTTTAGTGATACTGTAATCTATAGAGTTCTTTTTTTTGTTTGTCCACTGGGATTCTAAATTTTTTTATTATGAACCTTTTCAGATTATCAGTCAGGTTGGCCAGAAACGGGGTAGATTGAATATTGAGGAAGATGATGATGGGCAGCCTAGGAAGAAGGTTCGGCTAGGAGTACCTGCCACCCAATGGATTTCAATTTACAATGCTAGGATGCCGATGAAACAGAGGTAGAAACTCATTTGCAACGTTGTACCCTTCTTCTAATGTTGTACTTTTTTCCTCTCTGTTGATAGATAGTGTCGTTTCATTCTTCCTTGCATATTAACAGCATCTTTGATCCAAAATTAAAAAGGAGAGAACGATTAGAATATAAGAATTCCTGACTGCATTTTTTCTCATGGCTTGCTTATCTTTTATTACTAGGTATCATTACAATGTCGCTGATGCGAGGTTGGCACAACATGTGGAGAGAGGGATTGCAGATGGTCTGCTTATAAGTTGTGTGTCATCTTGTTCTAATCTCTGGGCACTTATTATGGACGCTGGAACCGGTTTTACAAACCAAGTTTATGAGCTCTCCCCCTTCTTCTTGCACAAGGTGGATTGTATTTCCGTGCGTGTTTATATTGGTATAAGATATTGTACTAAAAAACCTGACAGACTTCTTGTTCCAATTGGACAGGAATGGATCATGGAACAATGGGAGAAGAATTATTACATTAGTTCTATTGCCGGTGCTAACAATGGAAGTTCCCTTGTAGTGATGTCCAAAGGTATGTTGCTTTAGTGATTTGTTGGGCATTGATCTATGAAGTCCAATTTTGTCAATTAATAAATCTGCATGATGCATTTGTGTTTGTATTCGACACTGATGTATTTGTATTGGACATTCATGTTTTGAGTTTCTTGACAGAGGTTAATGAGTCATGTTTTCTTCTTATGAAAGGGGATCTTGTCATTTTGTAATCTGAAATTAGTAGACAGCATTTGTACTTGCAAATTTGAAAATCCACATCAGTTTAATTCACTTTCAGTCACTAAATTATTCAACTGTAACCATGATGGTGCAGGTACCCAGTATACGCAACAGTCTTACAAAGTCAGTGATTCTTTCCCCTTCAAGTGGATAAATAAGAAGTGGAGAGAAGGATTTCATGTGACCTCAATGGCAACTGCTGGGAGCCGGTGGGGTGTTGTTATGTCTCGCAATGCGGGCTTCAGTGATCAGGTGAGCTGTGCCCAGTTTATCATCAATATCATCTGTTTAGGGTGGATGTAGGCCATTTATGGAGCATCCAACCTTTTGACCCGAGTTTAAAGCGAGTGGATCCTGATTATGGCAAAGAGATATGCTAACTTCATATGCACTAATGTGTGATCAGTAGCATTTCATGAAAGCTAATACATGTGACTTTGCACTTATTTCTGTTTTCTGGTTTTCCGCTTGGTGTCGCACCTCTCATTTGCCATTTTGTTTTCATAGGTTGTGGAGCTTGATTTTCTCTATCCGAGTGAAGGCATCCACAGACGTTGGGACAATGGTTTCCGCATAACATCGACAGCCGCAACTTGGGATCAAGCAGCTCTTATCTTGAGTGTTCCAAAGCGCAAACCTGGTGACGAAACTCAGGAGACGCTGCGCACGTCTCAATTCCCAAGCACACATGTGAAGGTATGAAATAAACGGTTAAATTTATTTTTTTCTAGTCACAGAACAATAGTAGATTATTGATATCCTCACTAAATTATCTTCTTATAAACAGGAAAAATGGGCGAAGAATCTGTATCTCGCTTGTTTGTGTTACGGGCGCACTGTATCTTGATTCCTGTGTAATCATCAGGAACTTGTAAGTCGATATTTGTAGACGACTTTGTTTTTCGTTCTCCCTCTCGTGGTCCAATATGATTTGTAAGAAGAATTGATTGTACGAGAGGAGTTAGCTGCAGCAGCACAAATTCTGTTGTATGTTAAAATGTTTTATGAGCCGTATAGTTGGCTTTTGCTTCGGAGTTCTCTATGAAGTTAAATGCAAGATGTACACTCTTTGGTAAGTAAATTGTAAGCAAGCATATGTGATTAGGGCTTGTTGCGATTTGTTTGGTTCGGTTTAGGCCTTTAATTAACTGCGTCGATTGGTTTGGTTTAGACCTCAAGCTGGTAGCAAAACTAAACGAATGGAATCCTGTTTAGTTACCGGTTTGATTCGGTTGTTTCAGTTCATAAGCTGCACAACGAACTCACGGTTTGGATCGCTTTGGTTTAGACCCCAAACTGGTAGCGTAGCTAAAAACCGGGCAAGTCATATTTCTGGACTCGGAAACCGAACATAACCGAATTGATTTGAGTTTGGTTTGATGTGGTTCAAAATTGCTCTCTAGTAAAAATCAGATCTAATCGCTCAAATTTGTTTGGTTTAGTTGGTTTGAACAATTCAGTCGCTTTTCCATACTTTTTCGGGCTAGTAGAGGGATGCATGCATGATTTAGTGATCTTTTATTTGACAAATTCTGATGATGAACAAATCTTATAAAAAAATTTGACCAAAGAAAAAAAAAATTCTTGTTAATTGAGCTAGAAAAAAGAAAGAAAAACAACCCCTTGGAAAATGTGGTTGGAGAAAAATAAAAATAAATTAACTGGAACAATGGTCTCTTAACTTTAGTTTAATTAGAGCTTTGGTCCATGAACTTGTAATAATATGGAGCAAAGTTCTTTTGGCTAACTTCGTTAGAACTTCTATTCATTTTTTGCGCCTTTAACCCCTCTATTTTGAATGGAAATCTTAACGTAGTGAAAATAACCATTGCTTCACATCATACCAAGTTAGAGACCAACATCCATGAATTTTTAGTTCAAAAACCAAAACTCCAATTAGACCAAATTTCAGGACTATTGCTTCAGTTTTCTCATGCGTTAATATCTAGGGAGGGACAAAAATAGAAAGCCTGAAGGAGGAGGATGTAGGGTCCCACCCAGTCGCGCTGTGTTAGTACAGTACTGATGTACTTTTATAAAAAGTAGGTATAAAAAAATGAGTTCAAAAAAGTGTTTGGTACACACTTAAAAACAACTTATTTTCATAGTTTTTAGTGAAAAAAATGCTGAAAACGTGAAGCAACAAAAATAAGCTTATTCTCACAACACAATAGAAGTAATTTTTATTTAAAGCATAGCAATACCAAACCATCCCTCCGTATGCAAAGAGATCGAGAGAGAGGATGGATGATAGACATGAAGTGTCCCGCTAAGACCACATAGACAGACAAACATACAGAGAGAGAGGATGATGGCTTCTTCTTCTTCCTCTCATCTCTCAGCCATCCCCCTACGCCTCTCCAAATCCTCCCATCCATCCCACTGTAAGTTCTCTCTCTCTCTCTCTCTCTCTCTCTCTCTCTCTCTCTCTCTCTAAAATTTGAGTACCCATTAACGAACTTGCTGAGAGTTGCTAATTTCTCGTAATTTCCATGCATATAGTAATTCCAAGTAAATTGCTTTATTCTGCCTTATCTCTTCCTTCGTAATTTGCAGAGTTCTTGCTTCCTTGTTTCTCGTTATATATGCGGATATTAACTGCCGTAACGGTCACTCACCTCATAGTTTTCTGCTAATCAGCTTACTTTACCAAATTTAATCGTTGTCTACTTGGTTTTGCTTTGTCTCTAATGTTGTCGTGTCATTTTTGGGGTGTTTAAGTTTAATTACGGGAAAAATTAGAAAAAGGATATAATGTTCATCTAATTTTCATGAATGATGGGTTTACTGATGGAAAGGTTCGAAATTGACTGAAGCAAATAGGGTTTTACTGGTGGCTGTTTCTATTGATTTTCCGAACGAAGAGATTTTACATGGGATTTGTTTTCCTTTTCGGCATTAACGATTTGAGAACTTGAAATAATGTTAGAATTCAGTCAAGGCAATGTCATGAAATCTTAATTCTTTACTTCCACTCAGACTAGTTCTGGGGATCCATTTTAACTCTAGAACCCGATATCCGGTGATAGCGTGTACCCTTTCATAAGAAATGAAAGACAAGATGATTTATGGTACTGAAATTGTGCTTTCAAGTTGTAGCCGGTGAACATTTTTCTTTTAACACTCATTCGGTAATGCAGCGCACGATTGCTGTGAAAATTATGTTGATGTCTTTGAATCTTTTGTCACTAATTGTTGAAAAATGATACTAGCTAGTAGCTTCATTTGTATGTCCAAAACTTGGCAGTCAATTCGAAGTCAGTTGGGTTTCATGCAAGAGCGAATCTTGAGAATGAGAGCAGCAGTCCAGGGGACGCAGAAAACTCATCTAAACATTCAAAGGTAACGATCTTTCATTAGATTTAAGTATCTAGTTTTTTTTATTAGTGATTACAATAAGTTTATTTGACTTTGAAGTTTGAAGGTATGCCTGATTCCAACAAATTATGGCCATTGTTTATGGCTTCATGTCATTCGTATATAGTGTACTGATGCATGTAGTAAATGTGGCTAGAACTGAATTCATGCTCTTAATGGTTATACTTGCTTAAAGTTAACATCTTTAGTATTTTGTTGAAGGCAATCTTTCCCATGATTTCCTCTGCTGCAAAAAGTCCTCAACTTTGCTTGATATATTCGTTTTCTGAGAATTCGACTTGCGTAGATTACTCTTACCAATTGGAACTTTTGAAACAAAATTATCTTTCTTATCAGTTAGCTATAAAGTATGGTAAAATTTGTTTGTAATTGATTTTTACAAAGGTTCGGTGACCACAGGAACCTCAAGTTTCAATCTCTCGGCGATTGTGTCTCACATGTCTATGTTCAACCGCTGCTTTGATAAGCAATTCTGCAACCACTTCTGCTCCAAAGGCACTTGCACTGGATGGAAACGACAGACCTGGTTGCCGGAATTGTGGGGGAAGTGGCGCTGTGCTTTGTAAGTATATTGTTTCTTTTCTGAAATCAAGATTTGAAATGATGTTGACATTTTTACATGCATAATGTGGACAATTTTTATCTTGATTAGAGAAATGAAATTGGTCCAAGGGTTCTCGAAAACTAACTTTAATGTTCAAATTGGCTTCCAAACTGCTTCAAATTTTGATTTTTCTTTTGGTGGATTTCTTTCTTTAAAGAGCAATGGTTCTAATCAATATCTAGTTTAAACCAAAGATACAAATTCCCTTCAACACGCCTTGAGTTGGTGCTTTTACTCGTAAAGGAGGAACAAATTTTGCTTCTTCCTCTCATATATTAGTTGGTTTATAAAGAGTTTTAGATCTAGATATTGTACTCGGAGCATAATGATTTGTTAAAGATGGCGTTCGTGCTACTGAAAAAGAACTCGAAAAATGTATGTTACTTGAGTTTCGTTTTCCCTGGAAATTTTAGATCTTATGTTAATTATGGTATCCCCTTCGTCCACGAGATTTTGATTTGCTTTTTTATATAGGTGATATGTGTGGTGGTACAGGAAAATGGAAAGCTCTCAACAGAAAACGGGCTAAAGACGTGTACGAGTTCACGGAATGTCCAAACTGTTACGGTATGTAGAATGTCCAAACTGTTACGGTATGTACTCGTCACTGATATTCATACTACTGTTTCAGCATATAGTGTTTCCATGAGCTCCAAGATTGCTTCACGCTTACAGTTGTTTGTTTGAATATTTCGAACTGGCTAAGCGTTTCCTTGAAGGCGAAAATTCGATTTGGATTGTGTAAACAAAAGTACAGAGTTGTAAAACAAATGACCACTGTATGGTTAAGCATTCTCTTTGATGAGTAATTTTTTGTTGTTGTAAACAGGACGGGGGAAACTCGTATGTCCGGTGTGTTTAGGGACTGGTGTACCGAACAACAAAGGTCTTCTCCGCAGGCCTGATGCCCGGCAGTTGCTCGATAAGATGTACAATGGCCGGCTTTTGCCAAATTCATAAGAGAGTTGTTCTGCATCACCGTGACCTCCACACGAAAGAGTTGATTTCCAGCATTGTGACCGTTCGATTTTCACTATATACGCTTAACGGATGTGTATTTGATTACATCACAATATATATATATAACAGATCCTGCAGTTGCAGATCGTTTATTCTGCAGACATTTTCTTTTCTCTACACGCAGCGAAACAAATAAGAAGTTTACAGACATAAGAAGCATCAACCGACAAACAAGAAACTCTTAAATCTGACTTGCGTTTGTTTGTTCGTATACAAAGCTTATATGGCAAGAAGGAATAAGGCAAAAGAAAGAAAAACAGAGCTACCACTCGATTTTCTTTCCTAGAAGACTGAACTGCTCGTGCAGGCCACAATAATTTATCGAGCCATAATGTAAAGGGCGTGCGGTCCCCAGTTTATCCTCCGTTATTAAACTGAACTGGCCGAAAGAGCAAATCATTTCAGGCAAGAAAGTATATAGATTACGGCAGATACAGCTTCGTCTTCCAACAAATGAACTCAAACACTTAGGATTGACCTTTGCAGAAGACAGTTAAAAGGCTTCCCACAGCGCCATTTGCCTCCTCGGTACGGAAAACTGTGATATCGTGAATCAGGGCTGACTGTTCGGAAGCTTGACGAGTACAGAATGCTCCGGTTTGTGGTCACATTCAAAGTCAAGGTGAACAAATGCTCGCTCAACTTCAGGAAGTTTCTCAAGCTTTATCTGGAGGGTCTCTCCAATGATATGTGCCTCTTTCAAGGGCAACTCCTCCGGGAGTTCAATGTCAACCTGTTTTAACAAATATATAAGTTCTTGTTAAAAAAATTATATATAAAAGTTTTCAATCTATTTCTTGATATAGATTCATAGAATGCAGTCTGCAGATTATAAGGTTGAACTCAGTGATTTGTAAGGTCACGCGACAAGTTCTCTCTCATGAAAATATAACATCGAAATTGCCAGTAATATGACTAACCTCTACAAAATAAAGAACACCAAATGTGTAAGCACGAACTGTGTCAATACGCTTCACTTGAGGGTGCCTTATGGTAAGGTATGTCAGTTTTTGTAGGAATTCCGGAGGCGCTGATTGTCCCACGAGGGAAACTGCATGATTGAGATCCCATGTTAAGTACAAAACATTAGGGAGATTTTAAAATGTCAAGGATAATGCCAATTCCTTTCAATAAGATGTGCAAAACTCGGCTGATATGATGCCAAAACTTCTTTTTCTTTGTTTCTTTTACTCTTTTGCCATCGCGTCCTTGACAAATATTATGAAAAGTACTAAATGCAACCACATATCTCTCCTTAGATTGGCCCTAACAAATATATCAAAGCAAGCAAGAAAACTGGAGGACAAGGTTCCAAACTGGTATCTGAGTTGAGATACAAGAATGACCACACAACTAGTAAATCACGCAAAGTTAGCATGACGGAAAACTAGATTTTTGTGAGATCAAAAGTCAGTGAAGAAAATTTAGAAAAAGTACCTGCATTTTCTAGAACAGTTCCGGACCAATTTGTAATCGTGTATACAGCAAGGATAATAGCACCAGCAGGATCAATCCACCACAAAAACTTATCAGCAAGAACAGCAGCCACTAATCCTACCACGTTTGTTACCACATCAAAATAGTGATCCTGGTAATTGCATTAAAAGAAGTCATATAACATGAAAAAATAGAACTGAAATCCCGTAAGAAAAAAAAAAACTTGTTGAAAAGGAAAGAAGGGAAAAACCTTGGCGTAGGCACGGACAATCTTGTTCCCTGAGGTCCTGCAGTATAACCAGAGTGCAAGCTTTACCACGGTGGCAAATATCATGATAGCGTACAACCACGCCAATTGCTCTGCGGACATCTTTTCAGTGGCATTACCGGTTATTAGTTGTTCTAAAGCCTGGATGAATACCTGAAACCCTGTAATGAAGCAGAAGGGCATAAAATTTCAGCTGGTTTGAAGTTTTATGTATGCAGCATAGTCTGGTTTAATTAAAAAAATTCTGCAAGCCTAACTTCATACCTTTTTCTTACTGTTGTGACTCTAAAGTTCGTTCTTTCATGTACTTACATCATGTACACTGGTATACTACCAAGAATTTTTCTAGGACTAAATAGTATTCATCTCACAATTTCTATTTTTTCCTGCAGAGTAAAGCGTCGTTGAGCACACAAAATAATTTTTTCTTCACTTTACAATAACAAAAAAGATATATAAACCATAAACTTTGACTACTGATCCATTCCTCATAGAAAACCATCACTCATATATTATAATAATTCAATGCATTATTTGTATAATTTGCTTAGATTATAACTAACATCAATTGACACTTATCTTAAAATGTTGTCGAAAGAAGAACATCTGATCAAGTTCTGAAAAATTTGAGGTTCGAGTTAGATTCGATTGTTAGATGTCTCTCATGATCTTCTCACATGTTCTTCAACAGACAAAATGGAAGCTAAAGGAAGATATAAGACAAATTCATCTGGACAGAAGTTGACCAATATAACGCGAGACAAGAGAGCGAGGAAAAACAACAGATGCCAAGGGAAAGAAAAGCTGTAATGACGCACCGAGGGTAGCCATGACAGCAGCAAAGACAATTATGCCAACAGGCTGCACCCTCAATTTTCCGATAGGATATTTATAGATATTGACGCTCTTCATTGCAAGGTGAGTGAACCAAAGTATTCCACCAGCCATGAGATCGAGCAAAGAATCTAGAGTCGATGCAGCAATGGCTATCGATCCACTCTTTACAGTAGCATAGATCTACACATTCCAAAATTATTATCTTAAATTAGTAAAATGCAAACATGAAATTGCAGACAAAACGTTGATCTGTCTCAACATATACGGCGTATGCTATCACAAAAAAGAATGAGATTTTTTAAGCATCCTGCATATTATTTTCATCTCACATAACTTGTATCATAATTCATTCATTTAAAATAATTTTTTTGATACGACTTGTAGCTCAAGTGATTAAAAGCGTGTACTCCTGAACCTGAGGTCTTGCGATAAATTAAGTACCTTAAGTCCCAAGAGAATAATATTGGCATAGTTGGAAATCTTCATTGCTCTTTCATGTTGTGCTTGTTCTTCGAGATCCTCATCATCGATGCTGTCGGCTGCCGCCACAGCGTCAACCTCCTCAAAGGATTTAAGTGTTTCAAATTGGGCTTCATAGTACTCCTTCTCTCCTACAATTTACAGAACTTCCAGGATCAACAAATTGTTTGAAACAAACCAAATAAACTCACACACGCAAAAACAATTCCAATTACAACAGTAGCTTCAAGATCAAATTGTACTACTCTGTTTGGTTGCTGAGAAAATGAAGGAAAATAAATCAAACATAATCATCTTAAAAACAAATACCAAATCGTCTCTTGGGTTCCTGACAGATTGAAAGAAAATGATAAAAATAGAAAACTTTTTCCCAAAGCATTAACATTTCCAAACAAATGACAAAATTTATTTTCTACATTTTCTCAGTTGCCAAACACAGAGAGAGAGGGAGAGACCACGGTTCAAGGCGGAGGTTCGAGAGAAGTCAATGCCGTCAGGAGACTCGGGGTCAACACCGGCACGGACCTTGTCAGGGAGCCTCGAAATGAAGTCCTTTCTGAGTGAGTTGTACGAGTTTCTTCGACTCAGTCGGCGACTGCGTCCACCGCTCCCCAACAGCGGTGTGAAGAGCGGCGTTTTTACACCGCTCGTTTCCGATTTTTCCTCCATCCGGACCCACCCAAATGACCCGATTATTAATCCGACTCCGACTCAAACTCTCTCTGTTCTGTCTCTCTCTCCTCTTTTCTCTCTGTGTCTCTGGTCAGAAGAGATCCTAAAAGAACAGAGAAGGTGAGCTAACTTTAAACTGAATTTCCCACCAAGTGGCAAGTACTATTAACCGATTATCTTCTTTTCCTTTTGTCTTCAAAGCAAAAATGTTTAGTTGACCAAGAAAAAAGTTCCCACAAGGATACGTACGCACTCAGACTAAGGTCTTGTGTACATAGGGCGGAGCTACCCACAACGGACAAGGATTGTCTGCCATCCCACTTTTCGTGCTATCCTGTTTTGTCTGGCCACGGTTAAGCCACGTTAACATTTTATATTATTTTTTTATAAAAATAATAAGATAAAAATGAATAGTAATATAAAATATTGACGTGACTTAACCGCGACCTCACAAACAGAAGGACACGAAAAGTAGGAGGGCAAACAATCATTATCCACCCACAACGCTAAGGTGGGATGTAGCCAGAGAGGTTTTTTTGTAAGTGTAGTGTTTTCACGCTAGCCACTCCATTCCCTCCCCCTACCCTCTCGTTCTGCTAAACCATTAATAGCTCGTTAAGACTTTTTTTTTAATCAAATTTAAACAAGGGTAAAAGAGGAAGTCCAACGGAAATTTAAAAAAGTGGCGTGTATTTATAACATTGTGTGATGTCAATAAAATAACCATTAAATAAATTACAAGGTCAACTAATGCTATGTATAAATTAAAGGAAAACTAATGGAAAAATGTTTGAAATTTTTGAATTTTAACGATTATGACAAAATAAAAGGTAAAATAAATAGTACCAAGATTGACTTTTTAGTGTAAAAATGTGATTTTTCGTTAAAGTAAATAGAGAAATACCTTATGCACATGCAGAGTGTTGTAATGGTATCACTTGTAATGTTTGTCGTAAGTGTAATATTACAAACACACCACCCTAGAATACTAAATCAACCTAAGAACGACTACACCGTCATTGTGACGTATATCAAACTGAAATGTGTAAAGAGAAATGTATACATGTCATTATATTATTAACGCAAGTAACTATAATAATGTACTTACTCGTGCTATGAAAGTCCTAGTAGTTACTCTTCTTCCAGAAGATCACTTTGCTCATAGGTTGGATTATGTGCTTGTTCTTTTGTTATTGTTTGAAGCCGAGACATGACCTAAAGTATTATTAACTCTTAAGGCATTTCACTATTTAGCCCCCAAATGTCAAACATGTAGAGTACCTACTGTACAATTTCGAACAATATAAGCTTTTGGATGTCTTTTTCGACGAGAATCCGACATATATACAATAATTTACTATACATATTATGAGATGAAGAAACACCTTATTTTATTGTGCTTAACGTTTAAAATGTTTATTTCGGCCCCTCCACTTATAAACAATTAAAGTCTGAGTTGGATTTTAACATTTTTTTAACTATATGGTACATATGCTATACACGTATACAACGTTCAACGTAGAGCTGGTAATTAAGATGAACTTAACCCGTTAATACGACTCAATTTACCCACAAAATTTAATTAACGGTGAAAACTTAATAGGTTGAGTTAAGAATGAGTCACCGGTCAGCAATCCATTAGTTAACATATGATATTGGGTGTGTTTGTACCATACTTGATCAATCCCGAAACTACTGAGCACCGATCAATGTTATACCGTCAAGGACCCAGAAGAGTTTCCCTCCAACCAGGAGGCCAATCACAGCGCCACACGTGTCGATATCAGAAGCCAATCATAACATGACACGTGTCAACATCAGAAGCTAATCATAACACAACACGTGTCAATGTCAGAATGAAACTATAAACTCTCTTATATAAATAGAGATCATTCTCTCACAATATTTCCTAATGTCATTTGTACTAAATCATTCACTAGTACTCACTAAAGGAGAGCTTGAACCTATGTACTTATGTAAATCCTTCACAATTAATGAGAATTCCTCTACTCCGTGGACGTAACCAATCTGGGTGAACCACGTACATCTTGTGTTTGCTTTCCTGTCCCTATCCGTTTACTTATCCACACTAGTGACCGGAGCAATCTAGCGAAGGTCACAAACTTAACACTTTCTGTTGTATCAAAGTCTTCGCTGATTTTGTGCATCAACATGGTGAATTCACGAAAACCCATAATCACCCATTAAAGAGTTCAAAGGCAACATATTTATAAAAAAAAAAAGGGTTTTATCACTAATGGTTACTGAAATTGACCCTAACTATCAAAATGGTTATTGAAATTGAAAATCAATCAATATAATTCCTGAAAATAGATGTCGCAAATCAATATGGTCATTCCGTTACAGTTATGTTAAAAAAAATCTGTTAAGTATTGATGTGACACATAAATGGGTCTTATAAATCCTTTTTTTTTTCTCATAAATGATCTTTGAAATTGACTCATGACATCAAAATGGTCATCAAAATTGACCCGCGACATCAAAATGGTCCCTGAAATTGAAAATTGATAAATGTAATCCCTCAAGTAAGTGTCTCAAATCAATATAGTCATTTCATCATAATTATGTCAAAAAATCTTTTATGTGCTAATGTGACATATAAATGGGTCACACAAGTTTAATTAAATTAAAAAAAAATTACAAATAGGCTTAATAATTTAAAAGTTAATAAAAAAAATTGTCAACCAAAAAACCCAGTCCTGCAATCACCTCTGATCCCAGTCCCCATTTTTATACCTCATTCGCTATCTATTCTCTAAAAAAAAATCTCAATACACCTATCTTTACACAGTTCAACACCCTTCACCGACTTGAACCTGAATCGAGATCATCTTTGGTGACGGCTTGGCCTATTAGTAACAACTTCTGGGACATCACCGTTAACCTTTAGGCGATCATGAGATAACTGAGGTGCGTCTATTGTTGGTTGAAAACTATTTCCACACCTCCTTTTAGGCCTTGGTTAAACCTTATGCTTTTGAGAATTTATGGAATAGAGCTCTTTTTAGAGTAAGCCTTACTATAAAAAAAAATTCATTGTGCAAAAAGGTATTTAGACAACTTTTTAAATTAATTATTAAACCCACATCAGTACATAACAATTTTTTTTACAAAATTATGGCGGAAGAATCATATTGATTTGCGACACCTATTTTCAAATACTACATTGATTAATTTACAATTTCAGAGACCATATTGATGATGTGGGTCAATTTCAGGGACCATCTTGATGATGATGTAGGTCAATCTTAAGGACAATTTATGATAAAAATCTGTAAATCTTGTAAGGCCTATTTATGTGCCACATCAGCACTTAACAAAATTTTTAACAGAAAGTTGACGGAATGACTATATTGATCTGCGACACCTATTTTCAGAAACTACATTGATTGATTTTTATTTCAAAAACCATCTTGATGGTGAAGGTCAATTTCAGAGTCATTTGTGATAATAACTCTAAAAAAATTTAATATTGAATTATAACCCGATTACATAGCCAACATTGTCCTTTTCGTCGATCCAAATGCACCATACGAACCAGAATCGAAACCCTCATTCACAATTATTATAAAAATATAAAAAATTGCTCTGATTTTTGGGAAAATTTGGTACTAATCCAGTTCTAGTGCGAGAACGGAAAATTAAAAAACGATTAGAATTAGATTTAGGAAACGAAAAATCGAGAACTTGGAACTCCATTGAAGCAGCGATATCAGAAGAGTCGGTTCGCAAAACCCGGAGGTCGACTCGGGCGAGGATGCGAAGACCTTCATGGCGGAGGGTTTGGAGCCGGGCTGGAAAGCTGAAGTTTCAGCAAGTTGAGGAGGAAGTACGCAGTGCGGATTGCCGTCAGCGGGTCGTGGCCAACGACAGCGTCATTTTGGGGGAGGTTAAGGGGAGAGGAGATTGGAGGTGGTGGAGTGTAGCAAGTGGGTTATGGCGTGTTTGGGTTGCTATTGCTTTGGTCTGTTGTGGTTTTGTCGGTGAAGCCATGAACGAGAGAGAGGAGCTTGTGTTAACGAGTGAAACGGTTGACGTATTAACAGAAGAGGTCATTTCAAGTTCGACTATTTTCACCCATATTCATGTGAGTTGAGTTTGAGTGATTCAACCCCATCGAATCAGCTGAACCCAACTATATGCCAGCTAGTTCAATGGACACACAGGGACTCACGTTCAGTGGTGGATCCAGAAAATATTATTACAGGTTCAGTAAAAATGATGCGCATAGTGCGTAAATTTTTTTAAACAGAAATAGCATACAAATCGCTATTTCATCAAGTCCTGGTAGGCATGAAGACATTTGCAAAAGCATATTACACACCTGTTAAGGCCTCATTTAAATGGGTAACTAGCATGTTTCAAGGCTACTCTCATATGAATGCTTAACAAAGGAATACACTTTATCTTAAACTAACTAACAAATTGATTGATATCATTACATCCCATTAATATGTATGTGTGATGCTTTGTCCATTCTTTGAGATTAGCATTTCATTTACTTTGCATTTTTTTATAGTCTTTTATTTTATCTTCCTACAATTGTAATTACAACCAACAAACGAGCTAAAGATAAATAATATTAGGACTAAACTGTAAAGGCAACACCTCTTTAATGCATTTTATTAAGCAATTGGAGGACATATATGAATCGCAACTCCAACCTTCAAAATGACAGCATCCAAGTCATCCATAAAAATTCACCGAAATTTAGAAAGTCAGCTGACCCCTCTTGTCCCTAAGTTGGTCCGCCTCTGCTCACATTAGAATATAAAGTGGGTGTGCTATCCACACATCTCTTTTTACTTCTTACACACCTCTTGTTAATTTCTGTCATTTGATTTTCTTCAATTCATCCGATCCGACGGTCAAAAATTAAAAAGGTGTGAGAGAAGTAAAAAATGATGTATGAATATCACATCCCTATAAAAGTAAAGAAATTTCATAGTGCTATTAATTAATAATATCATAAAGGAATCTTTGGAGTATTTTATTATGAGCGATCAAACGGGACTGTGACTAAGAATAGATGTTTCATCTACTGCCGGGCTCTATACGCGGCCGACATGGGTCCTCTCCGGATCCATGTGTTTTAATCCACCAAATTTATATATTTGGATCGTTAAAATTTTATCTAATAGCTAATGTTATTATAATTTTTAAAATGATCATTTATTTGTAATCGTTGGATTAAATTTCAACAGTTTAGATACATGAATTTGGTGAATTAGGACACATAGATCCGAAGAGGACCCATGTCCCTATACGGCGGAAGAGGATCCTCTCCTGAGCTTATGATGAAGATTCTCCTGATCATGAAATCCGGGCTGTTCAAATTTAATTCAACTGCTCTAAATAGGAGGATCCTCTAAAAATTATAATAATTGTAATCATTTGATTAAATTTAAATGACCTGAATTTCGTGGTTAGAAGAATCTTCATCCTGAGCCCAGGAGAGGATCCTCTTCCCTATACGGCATCTAGTGATCAGATCGATGCATAAATGGCTCTTTTAATGCGAGGGAGCCATCTAATTCTAATATTATACATATGTGGTTTGGGTGGGTTTCATCCTTTTGCCTGGACCACCAAACAAAGAGAAAACGACTTCTGCATGCATGATTAAGTAGACTCTACTTAGGCGGAACAATTTGTCGTCATTGTAGAGTATTGAGCCACTAACACAATATTATGTGTAAAATATATCTCCACAACTAATGATTTTGTATTAATAGTTAAGGACGACATGACAAATGATAAACTTGTTCTATGTAAATTAATATACAGTACGTTTACCTATTCTCTCTCATCTAACTTCACATGCTGGGCATGTAGTATGTTTACGTATCATTTTAGAAAAAGAAATGTCCAAATGCAAACTAGCAGTCAAGACAGTAGTGATGCGCGTGTCTTGTCTTTGTGGCATCTAGTATCGGCACCGTTGGGTTTTCATGCCCAGTTCACTGAAAAATAAATAAATTAAGAGTTCCACAGCTAGCCGACTATGCAATAGTAGTTTTTTTTGTTGGAGTTTTGAGACTTTTAGGTATCGTTTGGTATGCAGACAGGACGGGATAAGACGAGACGGAACGGAGAGGGAGCAAAGATGTCCTCGGATGAAAACAAGGAGGAAGAAGAAGGAGAGGGAGATGTTATAATTTTGTGTTCCACGGATGTGGAACGAGTCGTTTCAGGGGGGTGAGGTGGAACGAAAATTCACTCAAAACTCGTCCCGTGGAATAGCACGTTCCACTCTTTTAAGGTGCACCAAACGTGGGACGGAACCCCCCGTCCCACTCCTTTCCGTCCCGTCCCACGTACCAAACAGTACCTTAGTGTCCACATTGGGGACCAATTGCCTTTATATATCTTTAGTCCTTTATGCTAGCATTTAGGATTTGGACCATTTGGAAATAAATTGAAGGTTTGGACCTTATGGTTGTTTGGATTAGGTTTGTATAATATAGCTTACATACAATTAATATTAATTAATCAAGACAAGGGCATTTGAAGTTAAAATTAATCAGATTCATTAATTTTAATTTCAAATTAATTTTTTAATTAATTTAGTAATTAAAAACGTTTTGATTAGGAGACACAACTCTTAGAAAGAGTTGTGTACTTTCAAATATGCTGAACAAATATTTGAAAGGGTGTGAAACAACCTATATATTTGCAATCCCAGTTTCCAAGTGAGATCATCATTTTCTTCCTTCTTCTCTTCCGTACAAACTTTCCAGAAAGTAAACACACAAAGCAATTCGCTAGAATTCTATAATCCAATGCGGGTTGTAAAGTTAGGTAGCCGTATCCGAAAATTATGTTCGAAGGATATAGCTTTTGCGCTAACCTCTACCTTTGATTCATTCAAGTTAGTATCATTTTAGTTTCTGTATTTATAGTGTAATTTCATTTTGTATTGCAAGTAATTTTTTTTTAAGTAATAAAGTATAAGTATTCAAGTTTTGTATTTCTGTTTCTAAATTGTTCTCCAACATTTTTAACTATCTTTAATTGATCTACTGGCTCAAAACGATGTTGTTTTGACAAGGTCATTAAAAAAAATAAAAAATAAAAACTCTTCTTCTTTGCTAAGTACTCAGCCATGGACTCCACAACCAACTGCCCTGGTATGATTCCATCGTGGCTTAAAAAGAGTAAATATTTGATGTGTTTGATGTCTAGTTTGTATTTATATGATTTATTTAGAAAGAAGAAATATCAAAGTGAGCGCTACATACATGTATGCACTAGCCTTTAAAAATTATGTGCCTCTCAGTTTCCAATGTTACATTTTTGAAATTTTCATGCTCCATTACTAAAACAGTTATTTGCATTATACAATTTTATTACGGAGAACTACGTTAAAAACAATATTTTTAATTCCACCTCTATTAGGTAAGTGGGTAATGCTACGTAGACCAATTTTTTAAAACTAAATTAATAAAACAAATTATGTGTCATCAATAATAAATAAATACATTAATTTCTTTTATCAACAAAAAAAAATTCAAAATTCCAGCATTAGAAAACTTCGACCACCCCATCTCTCCAAACCCGAACCATTCCCAATTTCTACCTATTCGCAACCCTCCACAACCACCTCCCCTACCACGCACAATGAAAACCCCAAAGATGTCAGACATCACTATCTCTCTCCCGACCTTTTTGATGCAGGACAAACCAAATGACCGAGGGAGATAACTTGGGAATCACTCAACCAGGGGCAACAGAACTCACTCGTGTTGCTAATCGTGGATTCGCTCACACGACCAAGCCAAACGCTTGATTTTAGAAAGAGGAAACACTCACTTCAAATGCACAAGGCAAATATATTTTAATTCATTCCAGTCTTTCAAATGATTGTATTACATCATAATTTAAGGGAAGCATAAATGAATTACAACTTCCTAAAAGACTCTCACCATATTCTAAATAGACTTAACAAATTTCTAAGTAATTAAAAGTGCTCTGCCATTATATTATTCCAATTCCAATGCATGTGAGCAATTTCCAAGGTTGTATGCTTACCGCATCATTCTCCCCTTTCTGAAAGAAAATTCGTACTTGAATTTCATTTGGTCTTCCTCAATCTTTTGGATGCCCAACCAATTTTTCCCGTAGTAGAGATTTTAGTAGGATAATCACAATTCGTACAACATTGCAAAGAGCACAAAATTCATAATATATTTTCTGTTTCCATCATGTATAGACTGATCCCCTTTTTCTTCCAAAATAATTGTGATGCATATAGGCTTCCAAACTTATTGCTTATGGGAGACAGTAAATACTTATGAACGAGAAAAGAAAACTCCAATAATGAGCAAAAGGTAGTTCCTTATCCAAGAAATTTCTCTTAACCAAAGCACCATCAATGAATTCATCCCAAATATAATCATGAAGCAGAATGCAAGAGATTTCACATTCTTTATAAGTTGTCCACGGGACTCTTCAACCACATCTTCATCGCCTTTGTAGTGATCATAAACTGGGGCGGAATTCCATTTGGCAAAGTTATCGACTACATCATTGCTTCCTATATGTTCCCCTTTTGTGTCAAACTCCATGTTGGAACGTTTTTCAACCTCAATCCATGTACAACAAATCTCACACGAACCATCTGGACAACGATTGAATGCATGTGAGCAATTTCGAGGGTTGTATGCTTGCTACCGCATGACTTTTCCTTTCTAGGCCACACAACAACTCCTTTTTCCACGCAGTATTATGTCCAAACTCTGCCAAAACTATCAACCAGTCGAATCTAATTGGTCCAACCAGTATATATGTATAGAAACACAATTTTGATATTATCATGAATTATTCAAAAAATATTTTCATGAACTCTGTTGGGTCTTTTTAATGCGGGTTGCTAGGGAGATATGATTCTAGTTTCCAAACTGTTGTTGGGGGGGGGGGGGGAAGTGATGAGAGTTAGGGAGGGTAGCAATTGTGGTGGCTGGGGTTAGAGAGATGGAGATGGCCAGAGTTGTCTATTACTGGACTATTTATGTTTCTTTTTTTTTACTGGGTGTACAAGACATTTGTTAGGCACATTCAAATTTTCAAGATAAAAAAGATAATTAAGTATCAAAAAAGAATAAATGAATCAAAATAAAATTCCCAGTTCGTAATCATCTTCGCCTTTTTAAGCTAGAGACAAATCTATTATGCTTCCGTTTAAGATGAATGAGGCTTGTATATTTTTAAAACAGATGAAAGTAACGAATCAGAATAAAATGGAGAAGCTGCAGAGTGGAGTAAACAGAAATTATTCGGCAGATTGCATTTCATAAGTTACTGAAAATTACAATCTGATTCCTACAACACTATAAAACCAAGTGCAACAACATCCCCATCCCCATCTCACATAGAGTGGGAAGCACAGGACTTCAAATACTTGCCCTGACAACGACATAACAAACACGCTAAAACACACACACACACACAAACACAACACATACTGAAGAAACAGACAGTAAACCAACATAAGACAACATCAAACTAGTCCCTCTCCTTCCTAGAGTAAACAACATCTTCTTCCTCGTCGTCCTTTGCCATGCCCAACGTATTCTTGACAGCATCAGTAGTAGTCTGTGCCATGTTCTTCACTTTCTCTCCGGTCTGCTGGAGGAACCCCTCCGACTTCTCCTTGCCAGCGTCCGCGGTGCCTTTGGCCTTCTGGCCTACCTCCGAGGCCTTCTCCTCGGTCGCCTCCTTGCTCTGCCGTGCCTTTGCCTTTGTAACTTGTCCCTTCTCTTGGCCCTTGTCTCTAGTTGTTTGAGTTGCACCCTTTGCTCTCTCCTTGGCTGCCTGGGCTGTCTCGTGGGTCTTGTCCTTTACTTCTTGGGCCTCCTGCCCAATTGTGTCCATCATCTGATTTGTCTTTTCCTGGATGTAAAAAACGAACGGAAGTGCATCAACATTATTCAAAATGTAATGATAAGATGTCAATCTGTTTAGACGACAACGATATAAATTAGATTGAAATGACATATCCAACAATTTTACACATAAACAAGATAACCTAAAGTGTGACAGTTTAACATTCCTACTCTTCCTAATTTAGTTTCTGCCACTGCCTACAGAACTTCAAATACTCAAATTCGATGTGCTAAAAGCTAGACCGAGAGTAACCAATATCAATATATGTTATCAAATGTAGCTATACTATCATGTCAATGTATACCTGAGCTTGGCCCTTGGCTTCACCAGCTCGGTAGGTCTGTCTGTGAGACGCCATTTTTGCTTTCGACACTGAGCGATACGTAAATTCTTTGAGTTATAACTGTAAGACTGCTCTTCTTTCTAAGTTTGTGATGCTGAGAAAGATTAATGCCTGCTATATACCTTTTCAAGTTTGCAACGTGATTGACATGTGTCTTACGTGCAGACAGTAGGCAACACGTGCCTTGCTCTAAGACAACCATTGACAGCACTGTAATACTAATATCGATGACTCATAACTTAGCGCCTACACCATGTTGACACGTGCTGATTCCCATTCAGACATATACGATTGTTTACTCGGAAGTTATATATTGGCTGCACTCAATCTTTGGAGCAAGATATTGTGTACAATTAAAACATGTACAGTACAGTAGTATTGTATCTTTGTAATTATATAGGATGGTGTTATTTATATACTCATTTTTATCTTTTAAACACTTTTTTCAAGTTCCAATCATCGGATCGTGTAAATTAAAGAAGATTAATGAATAAAATTAATAAGGATGTATGAGATGTAAAATAAGGTGTATGAATAACACTTCTCATTATATATCTCCAGATTTGAACTATTGCTCTCAAATTACACGGTTGGTCTTTTCGATCCCATCTTTTAAGTTTTAGGCAATTTGCCATGGTCACATTTTTGTAAAACTCACCATGATCATGTGGTTGATTATCTTCTTTTAAATACGATTAAATGGGTGGACTACTATACACTTATAAATCAACCACTTTAATTTTTGGTAAGGGCACTTCTCCAACAAATATGCAGCTATATTATACACCTTCGTTGCAATTTTTTTTACATTTTCGTCACTAATTTGGTTTCTTATTGGAAATTTTAGTTATAATTTCTGCAACGAGAACAATGTCTTTCTTTTGGTATAAGCCACAGTAGATTGGTTGTAAAGCAAACACATGTGTAGAAGAAAACTGTTGCTTCTTTTTCTAATCTAGAAGCATATTTGTACGTTACAAATCATGATCAAAGTGATATGCATATATTGTCAGGGCCACATCAGCCTCCGCAATTCAACAAATTTGGGTTCATATTTATCGTATGTATGATGACGTTTTTGGTTTTCCACCTTTAGTTGTTTAATAAAGTAGCTAAGCCACCAACTCATGAACTTCCAAAACCCTAGTCTTCATTATCTTTCTAGACACATATAATAGTGGCATTTATAAGATTAAAAAAAAACCAATTCTTTAATTATTTTCAAGAAAAATTAGTGTGATATAGTTACACTGTAACATAGTATTATTGATTCAGATGTTATAATATAAAATGATTATATAATTAATTTTTCAAGTTTGAAATGTAACATTAATAAATAAATACATGCATTTTATGAAGAGTGGGATTAGTAATAGTGAGTAACAGTGCAAATATCACATAGAATAATTTATGCGAAGAAAGAGAGAGAAGAAAGAAGTGAGGCCTTTGAAAGTCCTGTGCAGCCGAGTCTATGCCACTGGCTAATTTATTATATAATTACGTATAATTAAGCATGTGTGGTCAAGTAATAACCTTTCTGCTGATTGGCCTAAAAAAGTCTTTAGGAAGCGGCGTCATGGCTGCTGCTCTCTTCCTTTTTCTCCTCCTATACATAGCAGATAATTGAGCAAATTGTATTCATTGCAAGCCTTCTCTCAAACTTTTCCGCAACTACTTCACTTAGAAAGGAAATTAAAAGGAAAACAATGGACGTTGAGATCACTTCCTTGGCGATGGTAAATAATACATTGATGAAGGTTGCTATGTTTGTGCTAGTTCAAGCTTTGGTTTATCTGATCCTTTCAAGTTCATCCAGCCTCTTCTCCAAGAACAAATTGAGGTCACTCAACAGCTTTCGGCCCATTCGTTCTGCTAGCATTAACCGGATTCTGGCTGTCATCTCCGACTTGCCAACCAGCAGCACTGCTGCTGATTAGCCTTCACCACGTACATGATCCCAGCAGGAAAAATTCTTCTATTTATAGATGATTCATGTCCTATATATCATTAATTCTTTTAGAAGCATATATATAATGTTATACAATATATTGATGATAATATTCAGTTTATTCTTTAATGTTACACATAAGCTGCTGTAATATTCCACATGTAACTCTGTAATATATGATCTTCTTTTGTTGTGTAATTTCTTCTGAAGTATTGTTATATATATGTTCCTGTGATCTGAGGGACCTAGTTCGTAAGTCCGAAAAATCAACTAGGGTTTTCGGTAGAGAAGTTCAATTTTTTTTTTCTTGTACCCTGCGTTAATTAGTCTCTAAAACACATATATGTGAGCATATATAGACACCTTATTTTAAAGGAATTCCTGCCAAGATGACGAATCCTGCCATATGTGCTTCAAGATGAGCTTCGGGTAACTGGTACCATAGGAGACCTTGAAAAGAACAAATTATTGATGAATGCTTTAAAAGAGGGCAAAGAGTGAGCATGATTTCAAAGCCAAAATCTTGTTTGCGATCTAATTTAACTTAATAGATTAATTAGAGTAGCCTCTTCATTCCATTTTGTTTATCCATCAGTACACAAATTAAATGACAGCTGTTTAAAGTATCCCCATCAGTTCCGGTTACTTTAAAAGTGCATCAAAACCCGATCATCTTTTTCGGGAGGGAAAGAAATGATAATAGGAGAAGAGAGAGTCATATTCATTTCTAATTGATAATAGGAGAAGAGAGAGTCATATTCATTTCTAATTAGCCTTCTAGACCACTGTAAAATTTGGGGCATGCACCATATCATAGACAAAGATTGAAATCCAAGCCCAAAGGCCATAAAGAGCATACGTTTGGGGTGTTTAGGCAATTGGTGGCTCCCTTGCTTAATGCTTTGGTCACCGTAAAATCTCACTTCCTTATAACAACGTCAAAACATTATAACAACTCATTATTTAAGTCATTCTTTTAATACTTACATTAATGGGGTGGAGGAACAAATTGATTGCAAATTCACCATTTTCGAGATATTAAAGAGGAATATTACTATATTGTAATCGTATAGTACCAAATGACAATTATTTAAGCTAGTTGAGATGCCATTATATATATATATATTCCTAGAGATGCTAGAGATGGAGATGAAATCATGAAAAACCAGAACCCTGTGAAACCACAAGCAAACTACCATATGCAATAAGTTCGACCCTAAATAGAAAAAGGAAGATTAGAACTTTTGTCATCGATGCGGGGACAAATGTTTCGTCACTGAAATTAGAAAGACAATTTCAATGATTTTGAATTCGTGAAAACATTATTCATTCATATATTAAGAAACATTGACTTCGATCCATTACCAGTAAGGATTAGTGATGGCTACTACGATCCATCTTCCGCCCAAAACAACCAAATTACAACATGAAGGAGCAAACGTGGCAAGCACATCAATCGGTTGGCCGGCGGCGGCTTTTGTTCCAGGAACGTGGCATGAAATAGTCCAATTTTAATTATATTAGGCTAAGGGAATTGTTATTAAAACTCTACAAATCTCATTTGACACTTCAAATTTTCTATAATTAGAAAAAAAAAACACTTGTGAGGAGTGTAGAATGAGATATTTGGAGTGCTAATAACACCTCCCTAGGCTAAACATATCTTCTAGCTAGTGACACATCTTAAACATTGATTTAACTGATATATGTTATTGATGAGAAAATGGATTTTGTATGAACTTATAAGTAAGTTGGATTAGTTTCCATACTGCCAATTGATTTTATGTTGGAACCTCAATTTTATTTATAGTATCAGAGCAGATTGTCTCCTATGTAAAGTCCAAAGACCACATGAGCTCTACGACACCCCATTTGTATTATCCACATGTTAGAATTGAATATTCGCCACACATAAAAGGATTTGTTGATAATAAATTATACATTAATGAGAGGAGAGAAATTATATAAACTTATAAGTAAATTAAGTTACTCTTTACATTTTCAATTGATTTTTTTTTATAGAACATCAACATCAACTTTCTTATTGTATGCTGTTTTCTTATCTTCGTAAATTATGACCCACAGGAGACCACGATGACATAGAAATCTATAGCCTTCAATCCTAGCTGCCAACTGGTCCTCCAGGATTGGCTTAGGAACCCCAACGTGGAGTGGAGACATAAAATAGTATATATTATATCTTTACATATATAGCTACCATTGGCACAACGAAACGTGTATAAAAGTTCAAAAATTTACATTGTTCAATCACCCCTTGACTTTTTCAAATGTTGTTGTCGATCGCCTGCCGGTATTGTGACACCAGAGGCAGACATGGAATACAACAACTTTACAGGGATGCGTTTTATGTGGTATCCAAGGACAAAGATTTACATCGCTTTCAATGTGAAGGATCTTCTTGATGATCACTAAATCATGACATTTTATTGATGACAAGAAATGATTTATTAAAAAAAATATAAAGGCCAAATGATTTTGTTTATGATAATAATCACTCATGCCTAAGAGAAATTGGAAGTCAAGCATTAATTACTTTACTAAATTATACCAATGCAAGTCATATTATTATGTTAAAAGTTTATTTGGAAGAGTTTTTAAAATGACGGAAAATACTTTTAGTGAAATATTTTTAAAAACAATCATTAACAAAAATACAAGTGAGTCATGAAAAAACAATTAAAATACTTCCAGGAAACACTTCAAAGTGTTTATGGAACACAAAAATATTTCTTTAAAAATGATTTCAGTCATTTTAAAAACACTTCCAAACGAATCATAAATTGTCTAGATGGACCAGTGATCCTTGTTAACCTTAAAAAAAAAACCTTTTCATGTATACTCACCGTATTTCCTTATACTATATACAAGCATAGGCATAATGAATATCTAATACCTTAATGGCGGAAGTAACAACAATTTTTTAAGTAGAGTTGTAGTTGCAACTTGCAACAGCTTTTTAGAAACGTAAACTAACGATTATAAGTCATTCGTAAAAATGACTATCAATTAATAGTACTTACATTAACGACTGAAAATCATTCACACACTAGCAAACACTGTCCCTAACATTTCTCTTCTATCAAATTTGCTCTCACATTGATTGCCTTAAATGT